CATACATAACCCCTCATCAAACTCAGGAAGCATGCATCATTTTCATAATTCAGTAAAACATTCAAGATGTGCATACCTTTCGGGCAAGCTTCTCCAATTTTTCTTGCTCCATTTTCTGCATTGAAAAAGGGAGAATAACACATAGAGAGAAAAACAGAGAATATGAGAGATATATGGCTGAAAAAGAAATTTCAAATGATAACATGCTTATTTGCCTAATCTCATGAACCAAATTATGCGAGGAAGGTCGACTTTTAACATCAAGAATGAATTAACTTCTTGAATTCAATTCTGTTATGTAAGAACTAAAATTGTGGGTCTGCTTTAATTAAACAGTTAAACGTAAATTCCAACACAAATTCAATACCCTTGTAATGACATGTATGAACACTTTTTTGTAAAACAGATTTTTCAAATGAGAGTCAATGCACATTAATACAATAGTTTATACAAGCACATCTATGAAAAAAATGCAACATAGATACACAACAACAAACCTAGTAAAATCCCACAAAAAGTAGGGAAAACGAAAACACACATGAAATAAAAAAAAATTACAGAGTACTAAGAATGATTAAAAAGATAAATGCAGAGAGTACTGTGCATCCACTTAAGGGTTACCTTGATATAGACATTTTCTGCAGCTTGCTCCTCCTTGCCGAGCACTTTTCCACTAGAGAACCTACGTGACACAAACCTCAACGCATTCCTAGACGCCATGAAGCTGAATCTTCAAACAAATCCCCTGTAGATAAAAGGACTAATTACATTTTTGGCTGCACTTGATGAGTGGATGCCCCATTTAATGATGAATCAACAATGAAGATTGAAGATGGGTTGGATAAGATACAACCCCGTGAACATTCTATGAGGTGGAACCAACATCTCACAAATTGCACACACGCATTGACTGTTACACACCCGTAACAATGAAGATTGAAGACTATGCTCATTCTGGGGACAAGATATACGAAAACCGTATTTCAACCCCCAACAAGTAGAGACACCTACCAAACTGCGACATGTACTGCGAGGAGCGAGAGTGAAACTACAGCCCTAAAAGGACGTGTCATAAACACCAATCAAAGGTCATCGCCATGTCCTGGCATCGACAATCATGTAAACTAACATTTCAAAACAATGATAACTATGCTTGTTTGGATTAACCTACAGAGTCATGAAATTGCAATGTGAATGAAGATCATCTGCATACTGTACTAAGGAATCCATTTCTTATTTCTGCCTCCAACGAAATCAATCAGACATTGCCTTATCGATTTCTCCTAACCAGAAATCACTCACTTTGAAATTTGAGTGACAGAAGTCTAGGAATCGTTGGTCATCGTTCTCGATTTCTTCTAGCGTTTACGATCTCTCCTTTCGATCTCTCGTCAACATGAAAGCAACAATAGATCTATAAACAAATAAATACGGAGTATATGAAATAAAAGAGCACCTTCAGTTTCGATTGGCGGATGTCTCGATCCGAAGGGTGGAGATTGGGACGAGCAGATGAAGTGCGTGAAGGATGAAACGATTTGAACGAAGGAAGCTGCGGAAAAAGAAACCCTGCGGGAATGTTTGGTTCAGGGTTTTAGAAGAGAAAAATAACTCCTCTCTTATGTCTAATCGTAATTTATTTATTTGATTTTCCCTATTTTGTCAATTGTAAAACATTATTAAGAATGGAAAATATTAAAATGATAAATAAAGAATTATATTTGTCTTATATCGTCGTTGTTGATAAGCATAAGTATAAATTTATAATAAATCATGTTTACTTTCATACGACCGTACCTAGATAAAGTCGTTTGAGTTAATGATTTATATACTCCCTCTGTCCATCATAGATCTTCCCAGTCACTATTCACAGGGTCAAACTTTACTAACTTTGTTTACTCAATTTTACTAGTCATTTCATAAAATAATATATTCTTGTCACCTCTAGTTTTGTAGAACTTTTCATGTAGTTTATTACTATATAAATTTTATTTTAAAATTTTACTCCTATAATCAATTAAATTGAATTGAGAATAAAGTCGGTCAAACTTCGTAACGCGTAATGGGAAGATCATATATGGACGGAGGGAGTATAAACATACTTAGATAAAGTTGTTTGAGTTAATGATTTATCTAGTTAATGTTAACATAAAACATTAAATCAAATGACAGAAAAGGAATTTTTGTAATTGAGTTAATGCTTTATATATTTATTTGTAGATTCTATTACGTTTAATTCCGTACATAGAATTCAGATGTTTGTAAGGGCTAAGGACCAAAATAAGAGTAAAACATTGACTATATACCAAAATAAGAGTAGAAACATAAAATCCCAAAATAAGAGTTGCTAGCTCACCCTCTCACCCAATGACATGACCTCCTTTTCTAGACTTTTGCCAGGCAATTAGGTACGCAATGCACAAACATAAATAACATATGCTAACAGACTGAATTCATTGCACCCAATGGTACATAAACAAATATGTAAAATAATCATGAAACTGCCACTAAATTGATTTTTGCTGCTTCTTTTACACTACTTTGATCTCAGAATTGCTGGAATACAAAATAACAAAGCAAGGGGGAGAGATCACAGTAGATATATTGCTACTCCCTCCATCCTATAATGATCTTCCCAGAGCACTATTCCAATTTCACGGAAATTTATATTTATTTGTGTTTTTTCATGGCCTATATGATAAAATAAAATATTCTTGTCATCACTTGTTTTGTTGAACTTTTGGTGCAGTTTTTAAATATGTATGTTTTATTTTTTATTTTTATACCAATATTTAAATAAAATAGATTGAAAAAACTTGAGATTTTTTTTCGTTTTGCGAACCGGGAAGATCATTATAGGACGGAGGGAGTACTTTCTAAGGCTTGTGTAGAGAATGGGCAAACCGCCCACTAATTACGTACACATCTACATGCACATCACCGTATCCTTTCCGCCATGGCCATTGACCGTAGCCTTTCGCCAATGCTAGCACCCTTGCCAGTTGCCACCCTCCGTCAGGGCCTCTTGCCGTCGTCGTCATCGTGGCCCACTGCGTCTCTACCGCATGCCGCTATCACTTGAATCTCCGCCCACACCGGGATGTTGTGCCACGGCTGCAAAAATCCAACATTGTTTCCCATTATTTTCCACCGACATCGACGATATCACCACTCTACCACCGTCACACTTTGCACAGTCTCCGTCGTAGTGCCACATTAACAACAAAGAAGGTATAATCCCAAACATGGCCACGCATAATGTCACATATGGTAATGAATAATGCCACAAATTACCATATAATGTCACATATGGTAATGCATGATGCCACAGATTACCATATATAATGTCACTGTTGCAAATTCAAAATGTCGAACAAATGAATAATGTCAAACTCAACTACTGACCTGCAATAATAAAACTGGTGACCATCATCTATCTCACTGCAATCGTTATGGCAGCCGGATGACTAGCCGTCATTGACAATGGTTGACCCTCATTTTTCGACACCGAATCGCCTTGCGAAAACATCGAAACAAAGTTAAAGGTACATGAAAATCAACTAAATATGAATAGGGAACCCAAACACTTCTAAAAATATTGAAAAGTATGAAATTGAGGTGGGGTGAGGTTGCAAATCTGAGAGGGTGAGACGACGAATCTTAGAGGGGTGGGGATGCATGGTGGTGGCGATTTTTGCGGTGTTAATCTGAAGCTGCAGCCGCTTGGTCACTACTATTAGATGGCGGAGATGAAGATTGGAAGGGATCGAAGATGGTGGAGGGTGGAAAAGATTGACTTTGGAATAGGATCTGGTCGGGAAGAAGTTGGGGTTGTGGGTTGATTTTATATTTTAATAATTTTACTCCTATTTAGAGGATTTTAAGTTTAAAGTCTTATTTTTAAGATCTCACATATGTTTTACTCCTACTTAGGGGTTTTCTTTGTTTGTAATTGAGTTAATGCTTTATATATTTATTTGTATACCAATATTTTATTTAATTACATAATAAATAATAATTTTTAATTTTTTCATAAAAATTACATAAAATAACAAATAAAAAAAATCTATTTTTCAACCGCCAAACCGAAATGCTTCTCCCCGTAGCTTTTAAATTTTGGCTTTTCGGACTCAAACAGCCAATCCTTGCAACCAACTATCAAACACCTTTTGTTGCGGTTTGACCCGTCAAATCCGCTAAAATGGGTTAAAACAGCCAAAAGTCATCCTAAGTGCCAAAAAGCAAACACGCCCTATGTGTGATATAATTGTCATTGAACTACTTTAATTTGCCATATTGTCATTACTCACACCGAACCACTTCAGTTTCGAAAATTATATTGTGAACTTGTCCATGATGCAACTATAGATGAACGAGGTGAACTTGAGATGAACATTTTTTTATTATAAAAAAATAAAAATGTTGCAAAAAAAAAATTAATATGTCAAAAGACAATATTTTTTCATTCACAATTATGCAAAAAATAGTTTGATGCCTTGATTAGGGGTGGGCACGAAATCCGTTCCCGTTGGACCATTCCGAAAAATCCCGAATCCGTTTTGTAAATGTACCGAATAATTGGGACACAACTTTTTTATCCCGAACCCGTTCCGTCCCGTCCCGTTATCAAATGGGACATGAGCGGGACAACTTAATTTTATACCGGTCCGTCCCGTTTGTCCCGTTTTATCTATTTTATTAATATATAATTCTAATTCTATACACTCATTCTTTAATTAATTAAGTTAACTTCATTACTACCTACTGCTTTTGTTTTTTGAATGACAGTAGCTAATTGCTTGGTGTATATGAACACAACTAGTTTTTGGATGCCTTAGGAAGTTAATGACTTTTATTTATGACATTTTGACTTTTGGATTGAGTACCCCCCTCTTATATTTGGGATTATGACAAAGTAGGACGACCCAAATCCGTACTGGTTTGTTCCGATCCCAAATTTTATGAGACAAACTGGGATAAGATTGTAATCTGAACCGTTCCGGACCGTTTATATATAACTCCAGCCCCCGTGCCAGCCCCTAGCCTTGATGTCTTGTTGTTTTCAAATTGAACCACTCGGATCATCTTCTTCCTAAAGTTCCTGATTCTCAGAGTGATATGTTCCCAGTCCCCGACGTGCTCGCCCGCTCGAGACTGATTCCCAAACGAGGTGAACCCCAATTTCATCTCAGAGCCAAACACACATTTGAGTTTTCTTCTTCTTCTTCCTGCAAAGCTCACAAATCACTGGTATCCAGTTAAGATTTGTTAGAACTTAAGCGATGTATGAATCCCTAAAACCAGAGAAACAATCCCTCAATTCCCAGGGTTAGAATCAAGACATGTGTGTATGATTATATCTCACCCTAACCCTACTTCTGGATGTGAATAACTTGCTTTGTTTGCTTTGGCTAATTTTATGTGTTTCAAAATCATGTGCAACATTCAATTCATAAAATCATGTGGTGTTCATTGCTCAATTAAGAGTTTTAGAACAGAACAAAATCTTCTGGCATTCACCAGATTATGAATCTTGGACCATGGAAGAATGATTCTGAACCAGTTCACGTGAGAGTTGGTAGAGTTCATCTTCAGTTTTACGAGATTACAAAAGCTATAATCTTGAACCAGTTTTTGAAACCTAAGTACAGGAATGAGATAGTGCTAATGCATGGAGGACCGGTATAATATCTTCAGATATGTGGAGAAATGCTTCTGAGAAGAAACTTGTATTGGTTTTGCTTTTCTTTATTAGCTTTTTAATCTTGAACCAGTTGTTGTTGTTGTCTTTGGTGCTGTACAGGGTGACTTTATGTTGTCTTCATATATGCTGGCTCGTATAAATATTACCTTACAGCTTGTTTCCGGATTTCTCATGACCCTTTGAACATGTGGTGGTGAGGAAACAACTGTCCTACAAATTTGAGCTGAGATGCGACGGGTTCTTCTTTGTCTCTTAAATGTCACCAATAATGATGCCAAATACCGAGCAAAAGTTACGCAATCATGTGCTTATTTCTCTTCAACCTCACCTTACTGTCAGGACCAACCAGTTCAAGACCGACATATAGAGGAACATGAAAGACATTCCTCAACTGGGCCCGCGACCCGAATCCATAAACTGATTGCGTCACAGTCGGACCCACTTCTTGCCAAAGAAATCTTTGATTTGGCCTCTCGACATCCCGATTTCCAGCCTTCTTATGCTGTATTCCACTCCCTCATCATCAAACTCGGCCGTGCTCACCACTTCTCACTCATGGAGCCTCTTCTTCACTCTCTAAAGTACCACCGGTTCACCATTTCCCCATCACTATTCTCACACATTATCCAGATCTATGGCGATGCTAGAAATCCTGAAAAAGCCCTCAAAACCTTTTACACAATCTTGGAGTTCAACATGAAACCTCGTCGTAGACACTTGAACCAAATTCTTGAGATCCTCGTTGCCCACCGTGATTTCATTCGTCCTGCATTTGACCTCTTTAAATCTGCCCATCGATATGGAGTCCCGCCCAACACCAGATCTTACAACATTCTTATGAGAGCCTTTTGCTTGAATGATGATTTGAGCATCGCCTGCTCATTGTTAGATAAAATGTATGAAAGAGATGTTTTGCCGGATGTGGAGTCGTATAGAATCCTTATACAAGGGTTGTGTAGAAAGAGCCAAGTGAATAAAGCCGTCGATTTGCTTGATGATATGCTTAACAAAGGGTTTCTTCCGGATACCTTTTGTTACACCACTTTGTTAAACAGCTTGTGTAGGAAGAAACAGCTTAGAGAAGCTTACAAACTACTCTGTAGAATGAAGGTGAAGGGCTGTAACCCTGACATAGTTCATTATAACACTGTTATTTTAGGGTTTTGTAGAGAAGGCCGCGCTCTTGATGCTTGCAAGGTTCTTGAGGAAATGCCTGAAAATGGATGCCTACCCAATTTGGTGTCTTATAGAACACTGGTTGGAGGATTATGCGATCAAGGAATGTACGAAAAGGCTAAAGACTATGTGAATGAGATGGTGTCCAAAGGGTTTTCTCTGCATTTTTCGCGTGTTCATACACTGATAATGGGATTCTGTGGCCTCGGCAAAATCGACGAAGCTTGTGAGATCGTGGAGGTACTGTTGAAGCATCAAAACACACTGCATATTGATACTTGGGATGGAATTATCGGTCGGGTTTGTGAGGACGATGCTGAGAGGTTGGGAGACATTTTGGAAGAAATTAAGAAGGTAGAGATAAAGCCCGGGTCAAGAATCGTGGATATCGGTGCTGGTTTTGGAGATTTTATAATCAATAGAATAAAAGGCAGATCAAGAAAGGTTTGATTGCTTCTTGGAATTGGAATTTGATGCTCATGTGAAGAAGAAGAAGAAGAAGAAGAAGAAGAAACAAGGTAGGAGTCCCACTGTTTCCAATATTGAACTATATTTTATATAATTATATCCAATCCAAAAGGATAGTCTAAGATGAGAGTCTTGTTTGAGAATTGGGAGTAAAATCTTTAATTATGGGATACCTCAAGTGTGATCCCATCTTTCTCATCATCCTTCTCACTTCTCAAATAGAGTTAGTATTTGTGAATGTTTGTGAGAAGTTGAGCTCACATAAAGTTGCATGCTTTTGTTTTGCTTATTTTTTCTAACTTTTTAATTTTTATTAGAATCGAATCAAATCAAGACAGAAAAATGCTGGAAAAAAATATCAATATTTTGTCTATGATTAGATACTTTGTAATAATTACTAGTTTTTAAATTATGTTACATTATTTAATGTTACATATAATTAAGGAAAAATTACTCAAAATAATCCCGACTTTACCCGGTCTTTCAAAAATAATCTCATCTTTCACTGTGATGCATAATAATCCCAACTTTACTGAAATTTGCCAGTTTTGGGTCACCGTTAAGTTTCTAACGGAGGGTTAACGGAAATGCCCGTTTTAGGCAACAAAATGAAAGTTGGGATTATTTTTGATGAATTTTCATTTTTTTTTATTTTTTTAATTTTTTCATTTAAATTTTTTAAATTACTTTATACCTCCATCATCATTTCTTTTTCTTTTTTTAAAGATTAGTCTTAGTTTAAAAAATAAAAATAATAGATATAAAAAATGACAAAATGAGAAATGTAACTAAAATTATACAAAAATAATAAAATAAATAAGGTAATCAATGGAAACTAACTTGAAATTGGTTAAAGTAAAATAAAAATATACGGGTGGTTTTAATATTTTACGCATTATACAAAGTATTAACATATCACTTCTTATTTTTTAGAAAAACTTATCTACAATAATTTCAACTTTACCGGACGGCTTGTTCTTTTAAAAAATAAATTGTACATTAAGACTCTGTATAGTGTGTAAAATGTTAAAACCCACCACTCCGTATATATTTATTTTATTTCTTACCAGTTTATGTTTAATTTATATTGATTACATTATTTATTTGATTAATTTTGTATGGTTTTAGTTATTTTTCTCATTTTTTATATTTATTTTTTTCTAAGGTAAGAATAATCTTTAAAAAAGAAAAAGAAATGGAGGTTGAAAGTAATTCAAAAAATTTAAATAAAAATTTCAAAAAAAATTAAAAAAACAGAAATTCATCAAAAATAATCTCAACTTTCATTTTGTTGCCTAAAACGGGCATTTCCGTTAACCCTCCGTTAAAAATTTAACGGTGACCCAAAATTGGCAAATTTCAATAAAGTTGGGATTATTATGCATCACAGTGAAAGGTGTGATTATTTTTGAAAGACCGGATAAAGTTGGGATTATTTTGGGTAATTTTTCCTATAATTAAATAATAAATACTATTGTTCTTATTATGTCACATACAATTAAATAATACTTAGTAATAATGTTAAATATGAATAAATAAAACTTACTATTATTGTTATTTATAATAATAATAATAATTTTAAGGACAATGTTTGTAGCACCCTTTTATCTGATTTGAATTAATCTGATCTAATTTGATTTAACTAAAAATATAATGTAAAGGCTGATTTAAGAGATAGCTAGAGGAACAGAAAATTACTCATGGGTGACGCGAGTTTTGTTGAAATAACTCGCGTCATTACAACAAAATGTAAGGACCTCTGTTGAAATAATTTTCTGTCATTACAGAAAATTATTTTAGATGAAATATTGGATGAAATGTCCCCTTCCAGTCATTACAACAAAATGTAAGGACCTCTGCTGTCTTTTTGAAAATAGAGGGACCTGAAAATTAAATTACTAGGTTTCTTGATTTCTTTCTTTAACTCTCATACGGCGCAGAGACGAACCGTTCCTGCCATTGAAGTTGCAGACGAAAGTGAAAGAAATGGAAACGGAGAAGACAGGGAAGCGATTCGCGGGGAAGGTAGCAATAGTCACGGCTTCGACTCAGGGCATCGGCTTCGCCATCGCCCAATGCCTGGGCTTCGAGGGCGCCTCTCTCGTCATCTCTTCTCGCAAGCAGGTGCTCATAAAACCCAATCTTCAAAATTGAAACAATGATTACAAATACTTGTTTCCAAACGGCCCTGCAATTCGGCTGAGTATGTTTGTCTGAATCGAGATTTGCTGGATTTCTTGTGTGGTTTGGAATTTTATTAGGTTTTATGCGGTTTGGAGTGTGGATTTTGATGAGAAGGTAGTGTGATCATGAATGATTCATGCCTGATTTTTGCAGAAAAATGTTGATGAAGCAGTTGAGAAACTAAGAGGGAAAGGAATTGAGGTTTTGGGAGTTGTTTGCCATGTTTCAAATTCGCAGCACAGGAAGAATTTGATAGAGAAGACACTCCAGGTACTAACTTTGCGGTTCTTAAAACCATATCCATTGTTGAATCATCTGTTATTACTGCAGGGTTTGCTTAGGCATATGCTATTAACCGTCCGTATTTAGGTGTCTACTTTCTTTTAAAAAAACATGTTTTTATGAAATGAGTTTGTATTGTCAAATGCATCCTTCAAATGAGTTTATCATTGATTCATGTCAACAATACTCATATTCTATCTCTAGGATATTTTATACGGAGTACAATTCATTTTAAGTTCTTTGTTCAATACGGGAAGTGGACATTTAATTCTGGATAAATGAAAACAAGAAAGTGGATGACTAATTCTAGACGGAAGTAGTTGGTTTTTTATGGAGCATCTCATTCAATTAAGAAATTATTGTAGCATATCATTCAACTCAAAGTTTATTGTAACTTGTTTTTGAGCTGTATTTGAGTTAAGGGGCTCTTGAAAACAACCTATCTACTTTCAAGTAGGGATAAAGTCTACGTACACGTGCTCTCCCCAGACCCTACCTTGTGTGGGATTCAACTGGGTTTGTTGTTGGTGGTGGTGGTTTTTAGCTGATTGAATTTATAAGAGGGAATTTTGTGGTCTTTTTTTCTTCTTTCTTTTAGAAATATGGAAGGATAGATGTAATTGTGTCCAATGCTGCTGCCAACCCTTCTGTGGATTCAATTTTAGAAACCAAAGAGTCTATTCTTGACAAGCTATGGGATATCAATGTGAAAGCCTCTATACTCTTATTGCAAGTAAGTCCAAATACTCTTACTGCAACAAAGACTCTATTATGATGTCCTTCTTCGGATAAATCCCGCGTTGATTAAGTACAAACTTATATTCCTTTCATCCCAAAGTTATCTTCAAAAGTGGAAATGACACCGAGATTAAGAATGAAAAGAAAATCTTTTTGGCACCATAGATATGTAGATTGACCAAAAAAAGGGAAATGGGAAATTGATTTTAGGACAACCAAAAATGTAAAGTGAGAAGTTAATTTTGGGACAGATGAAGTAATTATTGGGCTACCAGTCTTGCCAAGCTGGCATTGTAGCATGTAGCCTGAAATGTTATTGTACTATATCTCACATTGGATCATAAATATAGGAGGAATTCATGGCAATGTCCTCAGGAATTTGAGATTGCACAAGAATATTTCAAGATTGTACAATTATCATCGGTGCTCTCAAAAGATTCAATATTTTTACAATATTACTCCAAAAGAAGTTTTAGTTTACATGGATCCCCCATTTTTTTTATTTGAGGTGTGATCAATATGAAATCTTGGAGTGTTGTTGTAAAAATGTCAAGTTTCAAGGAGCACTAGTGGTAAATTATTTAATCTTAGAATATTCTTGTAGAATTTCAAAATTTTGAAAGTATTGATATGATTTTTTCCCCAAATACAAACATATAGTCTGTGAGCTGAAGTCTTTGACCAATCTATCTTCACAGAAAGTTTCATTAGCATTCAAATAGTTACAATGCAATTTATTGACTTTTCGGCTGTTCCTTGGAACAGGATGCAGTTGCTCACCTGCAAAAAGGCTCATCAGTTGTTTTAATATCTTCAATCACTGCCTTCAACCCGCCAGCAGGAATGTCTATGTATGGAGTTACCAAAACTGCTCTTTTAGGACTTACCAAGGTACGGATTAAGTGTTTATCTTTAGATTGTGTCCGGTAATTTTTTGTTTCTTTTTTTTCCAGTTAAATGAAATTGTGTGTGAACTGGCAGGCTCTTGCAGCAGAAATGGCCCCAAATACTCGCGTTAACTGTGTAGCACCGGGGTTCGTCCCCACTCACTTCGCCGAGTTCTTAACAAAGTCAGATGAGATAGTAAGTTGTCATCAGTGTTGTAGCAAAAAACCATTCACGGGTCTACAATTATCAACTTGAGCTTGTGTTTTAGTTGGTGTCTTGACATGGAGTTAGAGTTTTCTTGAACCCAGAGGTCACGGGTTCGAACGTGATGGGTGTGTTCGATATTAAAAACATTTTGGAACTTGTGGTTGGTTGAGTTGGTTTATTTGACAACTCTTTGTTGTTTTGCAGAGGAACTCTCTCGTGGAGAAGACGCTTCTGAATAGGTTGGGAAAGACGGAAGACATGGCGTCAGCCGCGGCATTTTTGGCATCTGACGACGCCGCTTATATAACCGGAGAGACTTTGGTTGTTGCCGGTGGAATGCCTTCCAGGCTCTGAGAGAGACCCTTTCTAATCGCACTGGTCGCGGGTGCACCCTCCAAAGTCCGAATTGCGCCCCCAATAATATATCTGGTCACGTACACAATTGTAAAAGAAAAGAAAAAGGAAACATTTAGTAGTACTTATTACAATGTTTTTGTACTGGAAGAGATGATTCATTTGCTTAAGTTCAAATAAATTCAGTGTGACTGGTGAAAACTGTCAAATTTCATTGCTGCAAATGTGACTGCCCTGCCCCTTCTGCTGATTCTTTACCACCGCCGGAGCGTCCCCTTGGCGGTGGCAGAAGCTCGTCATGTAACCACTTCGCCCCAATATTGTTAGACCACCGTCGGGAAGTTGCCCTCAGTTCTGGATCAAACTTCCTGCAGAGGAAGGTTCTCATGACATTGGGAACCAATGTCATGGGATGACCCGGGGGCGCTCCGGTGTCCCGTTCATAAAATTGACGATTCTTACCTCCCTAATCCTCCTGGTAAACCCCCCACCCCGCCCCGACCCGGACACACCCCCCACCCCCTTCAATTGCATCCCACAAGTCGATTTTGACTTTGGAGTCAAAATTTGAGTAGTTTGCATCCCACATGACATTGAGAACCAATGTCATGGGAACCAAGGTGCACAAAAATATATGAGTAGTTTTTTAAAAAAATACATTAAAATTTTTATTATTTTCATCCCAAATTAAATTACATACGTAGTATTTACTACTACTTACATAATCAAATTTTATTTACTTTCTTTATTACAGAGTAATTTTATGACAAATTTAATAAATTATTAGTCATGTTATCTTTTGTTTTGTAAAATTTTTAATATAATTCTTAAATACTTCGTATATACTCATTTTTTTTAAAATTTTATTTCAATTTCCAAATGAAATGATTTGAAAGTAATTACAATGAGTCATTGTAAACGTAGACAATTTAAAATGGAATGAAGGAAATACAAAAGAAAATGTGATATAACTATACAATTTAAATTATATTCGGTATTAAAAATAACTTTAACCGTGAAAATTTGAGTTCAATTGGAATAAAGTAGTTTTTATGTCTTTTGTTTTGATTGAAAGGAAGTGCGGAGTAATAAGAACGAAGAGGGCACAACTAAAGACTACGGTAATAAATGGCCAAAATCCGAAAGATTTCACATTATTGCACAATCCAAAATTCCATACATATTTAAATTTTTTACGTGACATTAGCAGATTCTATCTGGCTGGAAAAGGGTAAATCCGTAATCACAAACAGCTTAGTAGGAAAAAAAATTATTTACACGACGTGGCTAAATTAAATATTAAAAATTAAAAGATAAAAAATATGTCAGCTCAGTGGAAAGCTCATTAGAGCACCAAAAGGAATGAATGGACATATATTCTTCTCTCTTTCTTTCTCCATTCCATCCTCTCCTTGTTCTTCTTCTTCTTCTTCTTCTTCTTCTTCTTCTTCTTCTTCTTCTTCTTCTTCTTCTTCTTCTTCTTCTTCTTCTTCTTCTTCTTCTTCTTCTTCTTCTTCTTCTTCTTCTTCTTCTTCTTCATTTTATGCACACTTGAGAGAACCCTCAAAGGTCTCTCCCTCCCTCATTCTTGAATTTTTGATCTATACAGGAACTACGTCATCGCTCTGACCTTCTTCATCGCAAGTCAAGATCAACCCTTCGGTGTAGGTCGGGAATATGCACCGCAACCATTGACAGCTCATCGAAACCGGTTCTCGTGGCGGGACGATCATCAACACATTGTCGTGCCGCCTCACGACCCCCATCACACTCACCGTGCTTCCTTCTTTGATGTAACTGGGGGTCCCATACAATACAATACAAGGAGAGCCACCGAGTCAGTCGTCCCACACCAGATAAATATGGAGTGAGGAAAAGTACCCGTAACAACAAACCAAGTAACATTTCACGAAAAGTAGTGTCTGGGGAGGGTGGTGTGTGCATATGGTTTCACAGTAGCACAAACAAAGTAAAAGCACGCGGGAAAAAAACTTGGGTTCATGTTTAGCTTACCCTTCTTTGAGGCGCATAAAATAGGGCATAAGTTCATGTCTAGCTCTCATCCTATTTACCAAATGGAACTGATAGCTTGTTTTGGAGTATGCATTTTAAAATAGGGCATAAGTTGCAAATAAGATTACACGCGCGCACTAATAGTTCTTTTTGGTAGCTAAAAAGATAAGCTCTTGTTTGAAAAGTTATGTCCTAGCACTTGAGAAATAAGCTACTAACTTTTTTTTGTTTGTTTAGTCATTACCACTAATGACCATATAAGCTCAAATACCCAATAACCCACTGCATAGCATTTTCTTAGATTAGAAATTTAGAATCAATCAATCAAACTCAATAGATGCAGAGAGAGAGAGAGAGAGAGCAATCATGTTTAGCTTACCCTTCTTTGAGTCGCATAATACGGTCGTCGCTCGAAAGGCTTCGGTCTGCAAGCCACTGCAAGAAATTTGGGGATGAATCCTTATTACCCTTTGTTATGTCAGCAACAGTTGAAGAGCTGACAAATGGGGCAACCTTGGCTCCATGACCTGCCTTCACTAGAGCTCTTAGCCCAGTTCGGTAGTCTGATATATAAAAGTCGGCCACATATTTCTGCTTGAGGAAAAGAAGCACAACAAATTCATAAATACTTGAAAACCAGGATAAAAAATATTTCGCCATGTATACACGTGTTGGTGAGAGGGCTCTTTGCAATGACTATGCACTACACAATGGAGTGTTACAGAGTGGAGGATCCAAATCACCTCATATTGGCATGAAGTGATCTGGATCTTCCACAAAGTAACTCCATCATTGTAGAAGATCCATTTATGCCCTCAGCAATCCCAAAAAACTAGAGGCTAAACTCGAAAAAACAATAATGATGAAATTTAGAACATTAGAGCAAAACATCTCTCAGCCTTTGTTTAGTCAGGATTTTGGAGGGGGGGGTGTGGAAGGTGGATGAGTGATGTTTTTGGTTGGGGGAGGAAATTTAATGTTGATTTTATTTCTACTTTTGCATCAAAATTAGTTCACATTATTACTCCTTTGCATATACATAATACATGAATAGATTTTTCATTACAACAACAAAGAATATCAGGTATAACCGTATAACATGGTTACATATTCTTGTAAAATGCCAATATCTACTGACTCCTCCATGCAACCAATCATGATATTTTAGCCCTTCCAGTTTTCACATTTGTATTTTTAGCTCATCAAAATCCCCCCACTCTATGAAACAAGATACTTTTTTTTGCATTTATACATATTCTTGTATAATATCACTTCCTCTTCTCATTTCTCTTCCTATCCTCTCTTTTGAACCAAATAAGGGCTAAAAGTAGGGGAAAGAACACACTTTAGTTCGCACAAGCTGGGGATGAAAATATTATGTAAGTATCTTGAAAGAATGTTGAAGCCTATAAGTAACAAAACTCAGAAACATCAAGCAGGTTAACATAAAAACAGACATTGGAGTATGGATGCAGAGATTCCCACACATAGTGTACAGCAAACAAACCTCCGAATGCCTTAGTCCCCATGAAAAGAAACAGTGTTTTGAATTTGCAGGTTTGGCACCACATCCTCTGTACTCATGCAACTCTGTGGAAACATATACGCATCTTGGTATCTTCTGGAAAGAAGTTTCTAGAGGGCTACTTCCACATGTGACAATCTACAAGCAAAAACATTTGGATCAACAAAATAAGTAACAAACCTCCTACACGTCAAAGAACGTCTATTGTAACAAGTTTGGGTATAGGTACATATTTAGCAAGAGCCTAACCGCTATTTGTGAGGACCCCTCAATTGAGGAGATAAAATTGAAGCATTGGAAGAAGAAGTTTAATCAAAAAAGGAAACTTTATGAAGGAAAAAATACCAATACCAATATGAAACTATTATAGTGCTTATTATAGCAATAGAAGACTGATACTATTATTAAAATTTTAAAATTTACAAATTAAAAATAGCAAGGGCTCCTAGCCAACCATGGGCCCATATCACATTAATAATTAGACGCCTCAGATTAGCATATTGGCACATTATTCATAGCAAACAGCAACCCCCAAAAACTGAGGTGCGCAATATGTTGCTGTCACTCATGCCGTTCTGCTCTCATCACCAGCACTCTATTCTGTATAGAATATCTACAAAATATTTCTTTTGCATGTTAGCTCTTCCTGAGATGCTAAGAATGAGCCACAAAGCACATAGTTATAGAGTAAGACTTACCCAAGAAATGATCATTTCCAACCCTATGGGGCTCTATCTTTTTCAGATTTTTTTTATAACTATAATAGGTTCTTTGATTTTTTTTAAACATATTAAGAAACACAAATCTCTAAAACTTCACATAGCTAGTAAAACTAATGGTCAATACTAGCATACTAAATGCTTCACAAACACAATCCAACCAGACTAGAAAAGCATCCATTTTACAACAAAAACAAACTCCTTCCATCCTGCAAAACATTCCGCCTTGGCAGCGACACAAGCTTGGTTTGAGAACAACATTTTTTATTAGCGTTAAAGTTCTTGAAAATCTTTTAAAGGTGCAAATTAACTTTGAAAACTTTCTAACACTAAAAACTAAAGTTGAATAGTATTTTCAAAATGCTAAAACTAAATGCACAAGCTAATGCCAAACAAAATTAGAGTTATTAAGAGAGAAATAGTATAAACCATAGAATTCCATACTTAAAAGAAATGTAGGAATTTGTTTTGACTTTTGAGTCAGACAAAAAGGTTAATATGGAATTCATCCAAATGATCACATGTTTTTGAATTCATCTCTAAACATGACTCCATAAGCTTAAACATACAAACATTCATGTTAATATACATACAAAGGTTACTTTGTTGGTAGACAGATGGGAATAAGGGTAGTGAAATTACCCCTGTGACCTTGATGAACTGTCCATCGACCGCACCTCTGAGCTCGGCATCTGGATATCTTTTCAGAAATCCCATCAAGCTTCGCTGTTTATAAGTGAAATTCCATATCAACAGCACCATTGCTGGAGCTAGAATCACGGCCAGTGCAATGAGGACCATTGATTTCTTCACGGCCACCATCAGGAACGCCCCTACTACCAGAGCCATTACTATCAGAACTAGAAACACCCACACGGCGAGCTTCGACACTCTAAACCCTAGCTTTATCTCCTCGCCCAATTTCGTAACAGCCGCGCCGTAGTGTACTTTAGTCGAAGGTACCGACGGCGGTTCTAGCTGGCCGGAGCGCCTGCCGGCGCTGGACCCCAATGGACCGGAAGTGATGAGGCCGGTGGGCTGGATTGGAGTCATGATTGGGCCGGAAAAGGAAGAGGACGACGATTTCTTCGAGATCGGGCCGGAGTTGATGGATTTGTGGCCGAGCTCGCCGGAGCTCGGCCCGGATCTGAGGGTTGCACTGTTGTGCTGAGAAGACGAAGAAGCTCTGGAGAAGGGCTTCAATGGAGGCGGGGGGCCCGCAACCTCCCCACTTGACAAGGCAACTCCGTACATTTTCCCCAGCTCGCCCGACTTCTTGACGTCGCCGCCGGTGTACGGCACCGCGCGTGACGCGACTGCCGGAGGCCGATCCTTGGGCTGCTCCGGCCTGCCAGACACGTAAAGCCCATTGCTCAGCTGGTGTGACCCGGTCCGAGAACCCATTTTGTAGAGAGAGAAAAAGAAAGCGAGAGATGAACTGTGTGAGAGAGTGAGCGAGTGGAGGAGAGAGAGAGAGAGGAGAGATGGTAAAGATAGAGAGAGAGGGTTAGTGTGAAAAGACCAAAATGGGGCTTGGGATTATCTAATGACGGATATGTCCTTATCTCTTAAGTATACGAAAATCTGGCGCTGAAATTAGTTTTTAAGGTTGTTAATAACGAATATGCCGTTCATTTTACATTTTTACCCATCAAGCGGTATGAATTATTTTTAGAGTATGCTTAATTGATGTATGTTAATGTAGTCTCAAATTTAATAATTTATCCTATATAAATATGATTGCGCCAATAAATTTTGAATGTGAAGGATAAATTTGAATTCTGTTGTACCACAACATTTTTGTTTTGGAGAATTTATGTAAATACTACTAAAACATAATCACTTTCCCTAAATAGTATTATGTGTTTTTTCCTAATGTAGAACTTTTAGTTATTATCCATTAGTCATTATTCAAGTAAATATTCACCTAATTATTATTTTTTTCTTTCTGCACATTATTAAGTGTTATTTAGAGAATAAAACAATTTAAATGCTATTTAAGAAAATGACTTAAGTTTTAGTGGTATTTAGTACAATTATTTCTTTTGTTTTATCATATATTGTATGAAATTTTGTGTATATGTGAAATATTCCTTCCGTCTTAAAAATATTATCACAATTATTATTTTGTCTTTTTAGTAATTTTGTTTGTTTACTTTTTTTCGTTGATTATTTGATAAAATAAAATATTACTGTCGTATCTTATTTTTTACAATATTTGATGTACTTTTGAACGATATAATTTTTCTTTTTATGTTTTTTTTACTAATTTATAAATAAAATAATTTTAAGAATGATGATTTGCAACGTTGCTCGAAATGTGATGAACATTTTGTAACGAAAGAAGTATTGTGTGTCATGAAGTCATGGAGCACCCCGCTTCGACTGGTTAAATAATTCGTTACTTCGTACTCTCTTCATTCTTACTTAACTTTTTAGTTCACTTTTCAAACTTAAAATTTGACCTACAATATCTTTAAAATATATTAGCAAAAAAATATTAAAAATAATATATTTAAAGTATTTTTCGATACCAATAGTTTGATATAATTTTTATATTGTAATTCATTTACATTTTTATATATAGTTAATTAAACGTTTGACACGTAAAGTAAAAGAGGCAGTTAAATAGAAATGGAGAAAGTATATCTTTAGTTCTACTAGAAGTTCAATAAAATTTATATTCTATCCAATTTTGTACTCTCTTCGTCATAAAAAAAGACTTTCATCTTGACTTAGTATAGAATTTAAGCAAAGTAAAAATTTGTAGATGAAACTTGAAAGTAACACAGAAGAGAGAAAAAAAAGTGTGAATCACTCAAAAAGTTTTAAAAAGGAAAAGAGTTAATTATGTGAATCACTCAAATACGGTAAATATGCGTCATTATCTCTTATAATTTTAAAACTTACGTCGTTGCTCCTCATAGTTCCAATTATGCCACGTCAATATCTATCCAGACTAAATTAACCTTCATATATTATAGGTGAATACCATCCCCCTCTCCCATTTTTTTCTTTATTGCTTTTCTTTGTTCTACTATATTTTCAAAAATATGTTTTAAAAAAATTAAGATTATTTTTTATAATGTTTTAATAATGAAATTTTCGTGTTTGTAATAAAAGATCAATTGAAAAATAGGTAAGGTACATTTCAAGTTAAACATTTTTTTTATCCAAAAGAGATCTTTATTGGTTCATAAAAATCAATAAAACATTCTATTTTTACACAAAGGGCCTGTTTGGGAATAACTTTAGCGATTAGCGTTAGCGTTTGGTAAGGCTATCTACGGGTAGCGTTTAGCGTTAGCGTTTTCAAAGTAATCTGCACCGTTAAATTTTTATCTAAAACACTGACGCTAATCTCTAATGTTATTTCCAAATAGGCCCTAAAGCTAGCTCATTTCTCATATCCTGCTCATTTTCTAATTTCTTTATTGATTTTTTCACTTTTTAAATTTTTTAAAAATAATTTTATACGATTTCCTATATTTTAATCAAAATTAAAATAAAAGACAAAAATAATGAAAAAAATACTTCTATTGAATAAAGAAAATTAATAAGTGATGAAGGAAATCTCTTGTGCATCTGACAAAAAAGTACTATTAGTATATAATTAGATATATATTGAAAAGATATTACACGATATTCTTTTGGTTCTGACATATTAAAAAAATTGTTTAGATAAAAAATGAAAATATTCAATTTGACAAATGAAGTTTATGTTAGTTTTTTTGTTTTTCATTTCCAACACAAATATTTTAATTTTTTAATTTTTTAATATAGTTTTGAAAATCAACTTATATACAAATATTTTGTCTTCTATTTACGAATAAAAGAAAACAAAAAAGAAAAACAATAAAAAAAGAGAGGGGATGTTGGTGCTCATATCCAAAACCATAGGGTATGACAAAATTATTCACCTAATATTTGAATGATATTTTTGTGCAGAATTGCATCGACGTAGCAATATTCGAATCATGCGGGATAATGTCGTAAGTTTTGAAAAAATGCTTTATTTTTTAGGAAAATGAAATGACACATAAGATAATTAATACTCATGAAATTCTTTAGTTCTAATTTGTTCAAATTAAACATTTAGAGGGTGTTTGAGACTGATTAACTTGTAGATAAAGTGATTTCTACGAAAGCTGAAAGCAGAAGCACCTCATACATGCTTCTCCGAAACAGTGTTCTATGAACAAAATAGTGGTGGTGAAAAGCAGAAGTTGACATGCCAAACATAGTAAAATCACTTCCACTCAAAGCATAAGCTAAATTATTAAAAGCATCGCACTGCCAAAACCCTCTTAGTTATATTTGTCATTAGCTTTAGATTTTAGTTTCAAAGCTATCATATCATAGTTTTTAGCATTAGTATTTTTTTACGTCAATCGGAAAAATTAAAGAATTATATACTCTGTAAAATACTAATGGTAATTACAGAAACTATTTCCAAACACAAACTAAATTGTTAGAAAATCAATTTTGAGCTCTTGTTCTCGGAAGATATGGAAATCTTAAGTAACAATAAGGCCCCATTTGGTACACGGAATTCAAATTATGGAATTGGAATTGAAGACTTCAATTCCAATTCTGGTGTTTGGTAGCACAAAAATCATGTGGATTTGGAATTGATAATGCAAAAAATGAATTGGAATCGGTGAATTCAATTCTATGGATTTGAGTCCCATGGAATTTCAATTCAAATTCAATTCCAATTCTATCAATTCCATATACCAAACGGACCCTAAGATTTTAACAAAGAAAACCAAGATTCATGTTAAGAGTTTGTTCTTTCCCATTTATCTTTATTACTTATTATTAATTCTTATTGAAATTAGATCAGATGATATTAGCTCTGAAGTAGCTTTAAATATAATTATACTCATATCAAATCAGATTATATTAAACCATATCTTAAAAAATCAGATCAAATTAAATAAGATTAGGCGAAGAAAACAAGTTCCAAATCACCGAGAAACAAAGAACATGTCTTAAAAATTTTGATATAACTCTTCTCGTGTCGAAATAATCTTCCAATTTAATTTCATAAATTTTAAGAGCAATCTTGAGAAGAAAAGAGAGTGGTTAAACTTTGATTGAAGGAATAGAAAAATACCTCAAGTAAAGCAATGGACGACGATGATGATGCTTTGCCATCTAATTGCTTCGCGTGACACAAAGAAAAGGCATTTTTGGCATTCAATTAGCTCCAACCTTTTCTTTCTTCTTCTAATACACCAAATTAATTTGTTTAGAAATATTTCAATTAAATGAATCATTCAAAAGTAGAGTAAATCATAGTCTTTATTTTTATGATTAAAATAATATTTTTTTATCACCAAAATATGATTATTACAATATGGTATAATCGCCCTCTATATTCACTTTTATACATATTATTCATATTATACGTCTTATTCTAAGATAAAAATATGTAGGTATTTAAAATTTTTCTATGTTTTACGTCTATTTTAACATTTCATGTTTCTATGATTCCTATTATCCACCTAAAGTCTAACATAGTAACTAATTTATTACAACAAATGAATACATGCGGAATAGATAAATAAATATTCCTTCCATTAATTTTTTTTCTCCAATTTGATTTTTTTGGTCAAATATTTTAAACTTGAATAAATTGCGCCCTTCAACCTAAAAAGAATTACACATTTCATTATTCAAAAATCACATAAATTTTTTTATTTGTGCGCTTTGATTAATTTTTTGATGAAATAAATATTTTTTGTCACCTCTTTTTTTATAAAATTTTTGACGTAATTTTTAAATATATAAATTTTATTCTTAATTTACATATTAATCTTTAAATAAAATGAATTCAAAAAAATTAAAATTTCGTTTCGTTTTGTGTAAAATGTAAAACAATTAGAAACGGGGGAGTATAAAAAAAGATGCACTAAATTATCATATAAATTTAGATATTAATATATTCATTTTGAAATATTTTATTTTTTATAATATATATTCGATACTTGTACATAAATAAAGATATTAGCCAAATATTCGGTACTTGTGGTCCATAAGTCATAGGTTCGACAAGAAGTAATAACTCTACATGCTTAGAGTCTGTTTGGAAATAACGTTAGAGGGGTTAGCTTTATCGTCTTGAATATATACGAGTTGCATTTAACGTTAGCGTTGTAAATCTATACCATTAAACTTTTATCCAAAACTTTAACGGTTATCCAAAACGGTATTCCAAAACAGACCTTTGATTAGTAGAAAATGTATGTAGAAGAACAATATTATACGGAGTAATAAATTTATTATTGTTTAAAAATAAAGAAATTAACAACTACAAGAAAAGTTTTGGAAGAATTGGAATATAAAAACCAGAGAAATGGCGCCTCAGCCTAAAATCTCTGCTTTGAATCCATCTTTCTCACCAAAAACAGACCGCCAGAACGATGAGCATCACGATGTAATAATGTAAACAATATGCTGTACTTTCTCGTCTTCTTCACCATGAAATAATCCAGCTCAGTTTCTTCGGTTTCTACGCATCACCCACCATGGAGGAATTCGATCTCAATCTCATCAGCCTCTTCAGATTCGTGCCCACAGCTACTTGTGATTCCGTTTCTTGAAATCAAAGTCGCATCTTTCCGTCGCGTGTTTCTGACGCCTTCTCAGAGTTGCCCGGAATGTGTTCGACGAAATTACCCAGAGAACTACATGGCGCCGGGCAGTTGTTGTTTCCGTCCATTTCGAGCGAGAAGGTGGAAGATCAAATCACTGGTTCCGAACCCGCATTCAGAAACGGAAGAGGAGAAGAGACTTGACAGCTTGGAATCATGGGAAGATGCGTTTCTTGAATCAGATGGTGTTGAAGAAACAGGGGAGGGTTTGAAGGAGGAATGGACGGCGGATCTTTCTCAGCTGTTTATAGGGAACAGGTTCGCTTCGGGTGCTCGTAGTAGGATTTATAGGGGAGTTTATAAGCAGAGAGCTGTGGCTGTGAAGATGGTGAGAGTTCCCAGTCATCATCATGGGTCGGGGAAGGAGACGACTAGAGCCCGTCTTGAACAACAATTCATCTCTGAAGTTTCCCTTCTTTCCTCCCTCTACCATCCCAACATTGTGCAGGTTAGAAAAGAAAAGAAATGATGTTTTTGTGTTAAACAAAGATTGGCCTAAAAAGTTCATTGCGTTGAGTTATTGCATTTATGAACAGTTCATTGCAGCATGTAAAAAGCCACCTGTGTACTGCATAATCACAGAGTACATGCCACAAGGAACACTGAGGATGTATTTGAACAAGAAAGAACCATTCTCACTTCCAATAGGAACAGTCCTGAGGTTAGCTCTTGATGTATCCCATGGAATGGCGTACCTCCATTCGAAGGGCGTGATTCACAGAGACCTAAAGTCAAGCAACTTGCTCCTCGACGACAAAATGCGCGTCAAAATTGCAGATTTTGGGACGTCGTGTCTTGAAACGCAGTGCCGCGGAGCAAAAGGGAGTATGGGGACTTTTCGGTGGATGGCTCCCGAGATGATCAAGGGGAAGTCGTGCACGCGCAAAGTTGAT